GTGAGTGAGTGTGGCGTCACCCACCAGGCGAATGGCTCTTCTCTGGATGGAATCTAAGAGCATCAGCGTATGTTCTGGTGCTGAACCTCATATGTGGGAACAGTATTCTAGAACAGGCCGTATCTGCGTTTTGTAGATCATGAGGAGCTGTTGAGGTGTAAAGTAGCTTTTCGCACGGAACAAGAATCCGATTTTTTGTGAAGCAGCTTTTGCGATGGATCTGACATGATTATCCCATGAAAGAGTGTTGTTGATGGAAATACCGAGCATAGATATGGTGGGCTTGGTGGGGATGGTGGTGCCAGACATTACAATATCAAATATCAACATATTATAATCATGATGTACTTCAATGACACATTTTCATATAGAAAATTCAACAGGAAATATGATTTTCATGAAAAACATATTTAGTTAACAAGCATACCAGATGACGGTCATTTAATCATTAATCAATCCAAATACGTAATGTCAAATGTCAACAGATTGCTTTTGAATGACATTACACACGCCATTATTTTAAATGATATTATTCCTTCTTTTCACTGAATATGGATAAATCACAAGAAATTCATATTTATAATTGACTCATATAATAGAAGAAAATGTGTCGTACATTGTGATATATATGAATTGTCCAATAATGAAAAAAGAAGGTCAAATTTGTAACTTTATAGTGAAATAACTTAATAAATAATGGTTTGTTCACATTTTCATTATCAAATTCGTGTTTTTCAGACAAAAATACGTAAGTACCAATAAAATAAATAACCCATCACGTGATAAATGCAGTTTTACCATAGTTGAAACTTCAAATCTCATTACAGCTGGAAGCAACTTTCGAATTATGAAAAATGTTAAAAACTGTCTGTAGGTTAATCGGGGAGGTGGTATATTCATCATTCCAGATTTTTTTGGATTTTCTCCTCGTTTCTATAAAATAAAAATATGAATATTATTGATGATTTGCCCCAAAATGTCACTGCGTTCGAAGAATTTTCCTATCAGAGAGCCTACAAGAAAAATTCACTAGCTTGTCAGTGACAATTTTTATTGAAAAAGGTTTGGAGAAGAGGAATAAAGGTATACAGGGTGGGTCACGGTAGATGGCACCTTAGACGTTTACGGAGAACGGGACATAAGATCATTCTGAAAATTTGGTTACTCAAGTAATTGCTCTTGATCTATCGATCTAAAATATTTTCAGCTCTGCGGCGTTGCCGCTTCTATTGAAAAGTAGCAACAACTTTGTTATTTAAATGGAACACCCTGTATTTTATTGCATCTTCAGATTCTCTCTGAAGAGCTGATTTCATCGATATATCACACTTGGGGTCTAGCGGAAATGATTACAGAGATATAGGGTGTGAAAAATCGACATTTTTCAACTTAAGGAATTTTTTTGTCGAAACTATTCATTATTGGTCAAAACGGCTTACATGTCCCTATCCCAACTTTTGATCAACTATCTACTGACATTTAATTGAAACAAATACAGGGTGGTGCAGAATTCAGATTCTTGATCACCCGGTATATGTCCCAATTAAATATCAGTAGATAGCTAATCAAAAGTTGAGATAGGGACATGTAAGCCGTTTTGACCAATAATGAATAGTTTCGACAAAAAAAATTCCTTAAGTTGAAAAATGTCGATTTTTCACACCCTATATCTCTGTAATCATTTCCGCTAGACCCCAAGTGTGATACATCGATGAAATCAGCTCTTCAGAGAGAATCTGAAAATGCGATAAAATACAGGGTGTTCCATTTAAAATAACAAAGTTGTTGCTACTTTTCGATAGAAGCGGCAACGTCGCAAAGCTGAAAATATTTAGATCGATAGATCAAGAGCAATTACTTGAGTAACCAAATTTTCAGAATGATCTTATGTCCCGTTCTCCGTAAACGTCTAAGGTGCCATCGACCGTGACCCACCCTGTATAGAAAAAATATCAAATTTCCACTTAGCTTTGGACGTTTCGGGAACGAATCTGCTCCCGTTCTCAACAAGAAAATGCAAAATATTTGTCTTTGGAAGTTTTTCTCTGCTTAGTGCTCAGTGTCATACTGGTGTTGGTATATGAATGAGTGATTTTAGTCTACAAATGAGTTACAGGATGTTTTCATTAGTTGATCTTGAATCTACCATTTTCATGTTCAGTTTTCAGTGAATACCATGTTCCATCTAAATCAACTGAACAGGAAGCAATGGTATGTTCTTCTCAACTCAACTCATATCCAAAGAACTTCATTGGTAGAACGATTCATCAAATTGAAGACAAACAAAATACACCACAACAAAAACAACCATCAATATCAACGAATATGATACCGTACATTCTCGGCATATCTGAAAAAATAAAACGTGTTGGTGATAAGTTCCTAGTGAAAACTGTGTTTAAAACTGAAAATACAATGAGATCCATTCTAACTCAAACAAAGCCAAAAAATGGGGAACAATCATCTAAAAATTGTATTTATAGTATACCTTGTGTTTGTGGAAAGTATTATACAGGTGAAAGGAAAAGATCTCTCTCAGTAAGGACTAAAGAACACAAGTACAATATCAAGAAAAGACATATCGATGAATCGAACCTGACTGAACCTATCCTTACTGAAGATGGGCAACATATGGCAGAGTGGAATAATATCAAAATCATAGGAAAGGAAGATAACAACCAAACAAGAAAAATCAAGTAATCCGCTTGCATTCTTCTGAACGGAGACAAATGTTTCCTGTTCAATTGATATAGATAGAACATGGTATTCACTACTGAAAACTGAACATGAAAATGGTAAATTCAAGATCAACTAATGAAAACATCCTGTTACTCATTTGTAGACTAAAATCACTCATTCATATGCCTACATCAGTATGACACTGAAAAGTGTCAAACTATAAACAGAGAAAAACTTCCAGAGAAAATTATTTCGCATTGTGCTAAGTGAAATTTTGATATTTTTTCTATATACCTTTATTTCTCTTCTCCAAACCTTTTTTAGTACAAATTGCTACTGACAAGCTAGTGATTGTTTCTTTTAGGCTCTCTGATAGGAAAATTCTTTAAACGCAGTGACATTTTGGGGCAAATCATCTGATTTGTCCTTACTACACGTATATTGAATTGATATTCATATTTTATTTTATAGAAACGAGGAGAGAAAATCCCAAGAAATCTGGAATAATGAATATGAAAAATGTTTTGAATAATCTGATTATTATCAATTCTAAAAATGTAACAACATAAATTATACGTGAATTGTCATTGTCATGTGTGAATTAAACAAAGAATTCAAATAACCATGACTTTCGGAATGGACACATTTTTTGACCAATCAAAACTATTTTTGCTATGGTGATCGTGTATTGTCGACACAATGTTCCAGTTCAATGATTGTTCAGACGGGGTACAAGCTAATTACTATCAAAATAAATGTCACTCAAATTTCCACTCGATTTTGTAGTTATTCACAATTTCAACTGGTAATTTAATACAGCGTTTATATTCTGACAACCAAATCGAATTTGTTTTCAGTTCGTTTGTCAACTGAACACCTAGGCTGAAGTTGATGTATCAAAACATTAGTAGGCTATATGCTCAACGATGCTGGATAGGTATGTACGGCAAATGGCATTGGAAGGAACTGGAAATGGAAATGAAAATCTGAATTGATGTTGCTTCTTCAGTGTTAAGAGTGGAGAAAATATTATATATTCCTCGGGTGAGAATGCTATTATATAGCTCACTCCTCACCCTTGGTTTATAATATACTATTTTTTCCACCACTAGCTATAAAACCTACCATCACTTACTCCTTTGCGGACGTAAAATGTGTTTTTCTACGGCTATAACAAATGTGAAGCAATGACAGCTCTGTCTAATAGATAATCATTACTTGACAGGAAATCAGATGGCTATGCCTATGGCTCATGCTGAAAACTTCATTCTCGTAGGAAATCACTATCATTCCGCGCTTGTTAACAATATACTATTTTACTACCAAGGTAGTTTTCGTCATTATATGAATCACTAGTCAATGAAGACATAGCCACCTCTGGTATAGTTAACCCGAATTCACTGTTTTGATACGAGATTCGTAGAAATGTCACTCGAATCTAGTATAGATATTTATGAATAACGACTTGTCATAAATATGCTGTCTTGCTCCTGATTTTAATTAGAATTGAAAAGAAGTGCTACCATATAGTGACAATATCTTCATATTTCAGATTCACAGAACTAAAATGATTGGAATGTATTGCAAGTGGTGAAAAAAAAATAATATGCACCATTGTAGTAAAGAATATTATTTCCACGGGACCTTATACCTCTCGGCTGAAGCCTCGGGATATAATCTTGGCCCCTGGGTGATAATGATATTCTTTACTTTGGTGTATAAATTATTAACTATTATCGGTTCAATAAAAAAATGTTTCTCTGAATAATATAAATTCGTCCCATGTTTCTGCTAATCCAAAGAATTTAAATAGTCTTACTCCAAAATACACTACAAAACTCAGTTTTAATCAGTTTTAATCTTCTCCTTTAAATGCTAACATAGTTAGCAAAACACGTGTCTAGGCGTTTAAAAAATCGGTTTGGTTAGTGGTGAAACAGTGTTGTATATTATCGTGCCAAAGGTTCCAGTCTTCGATATATTACTCCAAAGTATTTTATGTTTAGTTCGTGAGATGGAACAGTCTCCCTACCTTAGAAAACCATGCTCATACCTCAACCATACATAGAACCCATTGCAATTTTGCCAAAATCATTTGAAACAAACATGTTTGTGTGAATTTTCATTTCATTCTCAGATGACAGATAGTCCTTTTTTCACATTTATCTCATTGTTCAAATGAATTTTGATCTAACAATCGTGCTCCTGATAACTCAATATCCTCAATAATTCATAATTTTCCTTAAGGGTGTGTGAGAAATATTCAAACTCTGTAAATATTCATATTTTATATTTCAACTAGTATTTATTTTCTGTTTTAGATTGGCACTGGTTTCAGTGATGATAATCTACAAACTCATACTGAGTTTCTGAAGAAACACATTATCTCGAGTCCTAAGAAGTATTACAGATATGATAGTTCCCTAGAACCAGACCACTGGTTCGATGCAGTTCAAGTATGGGAAATCAAATGCGCAGATTTATCTTTGTCTCCTGTCCATCGAGCATCATTGGGGATTGTAAGTTTTGAACTGGTTTATTCATTCCATCCAATCTATTGAGTTCAAATTCATATAGAGTTATTAGTATATAACATAACTTCTGTGGAGTGATATTTTTCGTGCAGATATTCAACACGAGCCGCGAGTGTGGAAACTTAACAACCTCATCAAATGCACTTTCCAACTAGTTTTTTACACTATTCTTCCTACGATCAAAACGATAAACGATAAATATCAATTTATTATGTGGATTAGGGGTATTTATATTAAATCTCAGTAGATTTACTATATTTACTAAATGAACTCAGAGGTAATTCTTCACAGCTCATAACATGCACCTTGAAAATAGTTACAAATTCTCTTTTTCATTTCATTTCATCTGAGAACAGGTAGGGAGTGAACTTCAATAAGGATTGATATGGTGTGAACAACGCTTATAGTTATAATAAGAAGGTATCAACTAATAGATATTTTCGATAAAAGTATCGTAAATATTCATATTACGATTTGAGATGAGAAAGATAACCTATCGATAATCATAATATGAATTTACGATACTAATATAGTTCAATACTTTACCTACTACCAAAAATGCTGATTATTTAATTAGAAATAGTAGATATTCCTAGAATCAACTACTATTTATTAGGGTTGGGCCTATAGGTACTTGTCGTGAATCTATTGTGTTCTCGGTTGATACTCATTCGGCGAACTGTCAACTTTGACGCGTTCATTTCAATCTGAATATAGTGATTTATGTACCAAGGAACAAAAACTGTCTATAATAGTCGAGCTAATTTGAACAATCTGTTTAGTTCTTCGAACTTGTTCTGCATGCATGTTTGTCAGCATTCATAGTCACCATCTGTTACCTAAATGATTATTGATATATCAGAAAGACTAATACGAATGATATGCTTAGGTGGATCCAGAAAAAGGAATTTCGTTACGTTTTCCAAGATTCGTGAGGGTACGAGATGATAAGAGTGTGGAAGAAGCAACTACATCACAACAAATTGCTTACATGTATTCGAACCAAGAACAAGTGAAAAATTCGAATCAGAATAATAAAGTTGACCAGGAAGATTTTTATTGAAATTTCATCATGTAGATTTTACCCTTTATTTTTGTGAGTCAAATTATAATAAACGAGTATATATTTGAAGATTTTGTTTTTATTTCGTGTCATTTAATGTCTTTCGTGAACAACTCTACTGCCCAAATCAATTTTAACAACCGGTTCACCAAGCGCTTTTCTGGAATTTTCATAACAGGGCTGAATCTATGATGGTGCAGTTTTTTCGTTGAGTCAGAGCCTCGCACTCGAAGATTATATGAATATATTTCAAGATTGTTGACCACCGTTTGAATCAAAATGACGAGAAAACACTATCTCATCCAATAGGAATTAGAGCATCAAAATCATGGATTCTTTGGAAAAAATATTCATATTTCAATAATGATTGTGACAATTCCAAAAGTTCCAATACCGTTTCAGGAAAACATATGTTATGATATATGTTTTTTACCTCTGAAAATTATGTAAAAATGTTTATTCAAAACGGAACGCTTCTGAATTTTTTGAATTGCACAGCGTTGATTATCATCCTGTCGAAAATCATTCTGAAGAGAATCAATAATAATTTTGAATGATCACAGAAAATAACAAAAGGAAACTTCTATTGATTGAATATATGGTAACAACTGGATGTACATCATATTATCCTACGATAAACGTCCAGTGAATATTCATTGAATGTCAAATTTGTGAAATGACGGACATTCATTGGAAGTCTATTGGATTACAATAACCAAGCGTCAACCAGTTCGGCATCTCTCTTGTAAGTAAAAAAAAACTTGTGTGCGTAGGACGACCCGTCGGAAGTGTCAACTTCTATGGCCTGTCAGTATTTCCAATATATTTTTGACAATACGGGGATAATCTGAATGAAGTGATATCAAAAAGGAATATGTAGAAATGGATTTATATATAAAGAAATACATTGAGAATTCTCATTTCCTTTGTGATGAATATATCGACTCTTTATCGGTATATTTAACAGAAAACTATACTTTCCTGGCTATATATGCCACGACAAACATTACATCTATTGAACACACACGATAGAATCTGAAAATCAAATCTTCTGAAGTTGAAAATTTGCACTATCCTTCAGGTGAAAATATACATACACATGATATTCTGAATATTTAACAGAAAACAACTACCTTCCAGGCTATTTGCCACGTCGAACATTGAATTATATCTGGTGAACATCCAAAAAGAGAACATGAATATAAAAATCCGCTGAAATTGAGAATTGACATTCTCTTTCAAATCAGATAAATAATATGATTTATAATGATATAAAAAAATACGACATTATGACTTACCAATATATTTAGTATTTAGATGAAAATTGAAATGTATTGGAAAAGAAACATTAATTTTATGTAATATTTCCACGGATTCCCGAAAAGAATGAACTAGAACTAATATATTGATGGATAAATTTCAAGAATGAGAAATGTCAAATTGCAACTTATTAAGTATTCATTATTCACCCTGTGTACTATAAATGATGTGAATGATGTATAGAATTATTTTGTAATTCGAGCGAGAACACAATATGATTACATCGAATTATATGTAATATTTCCAAGTATTCGCGAAAAGGATGAACTAGAACTAAAAATATTGATGGAGAAATTTCAAATTGTATCTTGTCAGAAGTATTTATTACTCACCCTGTGTAGTGTGTATTATAAATGATGTGAATGATGTATAGAAATTGTTATCCGAGCGAGAACACAATATGATTAGATCGAATTTTATGTGATATATCCAAGTATTCGCAAAAAGGATGAACTAGAACTAAAAATATTGATGGAGAAATTTCATGAGAGATCAAATTGTATCTTGTTTTTTTTTTAAATTTGACTCAGGCGTTGAAGTTACATTTTCTCAAATTAATCGCTGAAAATCGGTTTATTTCAAAAAAGTTTTCCAAGAGAAATAGTTTCCATTTCAATGTTACACATTTGTCTAGAATTTGAACATTCGATTGCAACTTTTAGTTCTTGATATTTTGATTTCTTCCGAATGTAATTTCCATAAAACTGTCCTTAACTTTGGTTAGATATGTAAAGTAATTTGATGATATTTCGATACATGACTTTGGCTCATTTTAGTACTGAAAAAATCAAATTAAATAAATTTCGCTCTACTTTGCATCAAACAGAAATTTGAAGCGGGGATTATTATTTTCTGAAAAACATCATATTCTGTCGATAATTAGTGATTGAAAGGATTGAAAGTTAGTAGCATGATAAATCTACTAGAATGCAATAGTTTTGTCGGTGTTGATTTCTTTCAATATCAAGAGACATTTCGTTATCGTTAATCTTGAATAATATTTTTATATAAAACTTGGTACAGTTCTATTTCAGAGGACGCCGATTCCAATGGTGTACGAGGATTCCTTCTAAAAAAATCGCTAATATGAATTGTGTATTTTCAGCCTCTTAATGTAATCTAGAAGGTCTTGTTTTTTGTTTTAATGAACACCGCTTGGCTCCAAAATACACCTTTTCCTCCCCAACATTTAAGACAAGGAAAAATCGCTTCATAAATATAAAATGTATGAGGGTAGCCCGCTTTCAAATGGGTCACTCTATATGTTGCGAAAATCATGTGACTCCGACCGAGTATTTTTCAAAGCAGAACTCAACGCACACGTCGAATTTCGAAATAAATGATTACTAAAAGTTTTTCTCATATGATGCCGACTTATGAATGACACTGTATATAAGCAACCATTTCGGATTTGGTCATAGTACAATCCAATATAGCGGCTTCCGTTTTTTTCTGGAAAAGCCAGTAACTTTGTTTTTTCAAATGGAAAATCACGTATATTTTTACATATTCGAGTTCAACAGGTCAAAACAAGTGCAATCTTTATGTCAAATGCCATGTTTTCGAAATGATTGGAAATGAAATTGTTTTTTTTTTTTATTTTTCCTCGTAGATAAATGAGATGTATAGTGTATACATTCAAAAATCAACAACTAGTTCCATGAATTTTCTTGCAGTTCGAATAAATTTTCAAGTTAGCTGAAGAAAACAACATTTCTGAATCTTGTCATAATGATTGCACCTATTTTAACCTGTTGAACTCTGTAAAAATAATTCGTAAAAATATACAGGGTGTTCCATTTGGAAAATCACAATTGCTGGCATTTCCAGAAAAAACGGGAGTCTGCCATATTGGATTCAAATGTGACCAAATCTGAAATGGTTGCTTATACAACTGTACCTAATTTCAGAAAAATTCGTTTGCGAATGCAGAAGTTACCCTCTGTTACCCTGTATGCACTTATCATTATGCCGGTATTATGGAACGCGCGCTTCCGTGACTCGAGTTTACCGGTTTACTCTCATCCGAGAAAGTTCCTTACGCGCCTATAGAAGTTATCACTTCGAAAAGTAACGAGTTCTATCAAGAACGAAGAAAATGGGCGCATCATGTTCGGATTTTGAGGTTTTGCGTTTTCAAATTAATCCATATAAAATCCAGGGCGGTAAGTGCACCAAAAAATCCAAAGGAGTGAGATATAGCGATGTCGATACTGAAACTAATTTCTACGGAAAATACGAAAAAACTGACACCACATAGCTGTATTCGCTCGTACGTCCATGGCGTATTTAGAATCGAACAAACTGCCCTTAGCCCGCATGACAGCAAATGCCGTCTGCTTGCGGGCTCATATGACACTCTGCTATGGGGGCATTTCAGAGTTTAGCCTAATGGGAGTATTTGAGTCAATTATTCTCGTCTATTCTACGAAATTTGTGTTTGAATAAATGTTATTTATCAACAAACGTTATCAATAAAACTACCATAGATCCGCTTACATCTCGCCAAAACTCACTACATAATTTCTGATGATAATACAACTAGCTACTCGTCATAGAGAGTTACCTACTGACGTTAGCGCCGAGATTGAACGAAAGGACCCTCGGAATAGTGCATGGCACTGCATAGTTACCAATAAATCTGGTGTGTACTTATCTTGAGAAACCATTTTTCTGGCGTTCCTCATAAGTCATTTCCGTGACGTCAAAGTGGCGTCCTGTAGATGATGACATCAATTTACCGTCATGTATACGTTATTTTCCACCTTAGTTGGTCAGGGTTGGTAGAACGCGATAAATATACTTCTTATTTTCGTGTCATTCGGCCTTTTGCTATGATATCTTCTTCTCCGTCAATGTAAGAATTGGTCGTAAAGTTCCACATTGAGAGTGGGAAAACGTAAGACGGCTCACGTCTTTCGATAACTTGAGGTTTTCCATTTGTTCAAATAATCTCATATTTTTCGAATATTTTCAATAAAACGACGGGCCAACTGGCTAGGGTGAAAATGTTAGCCCTCATCATAAAGTTGTCCGGTAGCGTTATTCCGGTGTCCGCACTATATTCTGTGCTAGTTTGTAATGTACAAAAACTTGTATATCTGCACAGTACCTTATGCTCTCCAGACTCAAGTGGAATTCAGAACTGCCAAACTATTGTACTCTTATTATATAAGCCATCTTGTATACACACATAGGATTGCAATTTTTATTTGAATATAACGCACTATACTCAGTTTCGAAAGGTTTAAATTAAGTAATGAATGTATGTTGTGTGTGTACCTACCTATAGAAGGTTTTTCACTTGAAACTATGCACGCCAATATCGCAAAAACGAATAGAAATATTCAATGTCTGTTATAAGTAGTCAAATGATGGGATCAAGTAGATTTTATTAGAAGTTAAAGAAATAATCGCCTATCAAGAGCTGATCGAGCGTCTCGTCGAAAATGTAAATCGATTGCATTCACTTAAAAATTACGCGCACTCAACAGTACATGTTATTTATAAACTTTTTTGTTATTTACTCGAACTTATTTATCAAACTCATATCTGAGTTATACCGGTTTATGGTGAACGTTTCTTGATTGACAAAAATGCGATTACGAATGATTTTGACAAGAATGTCATTTATTTTACTCATTTGTCGTTTAACTAATAATTAAAATGATTATGTCCATCTGCTCGATTATTGTAGAAACGCCCTTCTTATTTTTGTAATACCGGCAACACGCACCACT